AGCCCCACGTACACCCCCTGACCCTGCAGGAGAGCATGGGGCAGCAGGCGAAGACCCTGCGGGCACAGGTGAAGCGGCACACAGTGCAGGAGAAGCTGAAGCTAAGCCAGAACTTCCTGCAGAAGCTGCGCTTCCTGGCAGACGAGGTGTGTCTCCCAAAGGCATGTGCAGAGGTGATGCCAGCCCCAAACCTGAGTGACCCGAAGCAGAAGTGGGGCTGCACAGGAGGCATTGAGCCAGACCAGCCAGGAGGCCCCTCCTGCTCTGACAGCTGTTGGGGGATGAGGGTGACCAAGCCCTTCACCCTGTCGGGTGTTCTTCCCGCTGGAACAGTGGGAGAAGAAGGAAAGCCCAGCGTCAGGCGTCCTTCCTTCCATGGATCCAGGGCTGGCCAAGAGGCAGGACCTCTCCCTTACGGGCCCCCAGCTGCCCACCGCAGTCCCACACAGCATCCCCGATGTCTTCATCTGGATGATGAGCGACGACAAGCACATGGCCTCAGCCCGGTGCCCAAGCAGGACCTGCTCTTCTCCATCGTGGAGGAGGAGCTGGGTGAGGACCACGCCAGAGTCAAGGCACTCTTCTCAAGGTGCTGGAAGGGAAGCGAATTAGGGGGTGGATGGGTCCAGGCTTTGTTCAATGGGTCAGCCTCCCTTGGACGGAGAGCGCGCCCACCCCGTCTGGCTGGCCTGAGTTGATGGGGTGCTCAGAGAAGAGGTGGAGAGAGTAGGAATGACAGGGGGTCCCATCCCGTCCATCCTTCTTGGCGCTCTGTTCCCAACCCCACAGCCCAGTGGGATGGCTGCGGAGGGACAGAGGCCCCCTGCCCGTTGCTCACCCCACGGGCTCCAACAGCTGACCCCGTGCCCACCCCCAGCTGCCAGGGTAGTGGGTCTTCGGCAAGGCGGGCTGGACAGTGCAAGCCAGGCTGGAGCCCTGCCTGCAGCTGGGCCACAGTAGGCAGCGCGGGGACTTGCTGTGGGGCCTGCCCTGCGGCTTCGAGGGGGTCCAGGCGGCCCTGGGTTTGGGCCTGCACTCCCTCCTGCCCAGCAGCCTGCTCTGCACCAGTGAGTGAGGCTGTCTGAGGCCCAGCTCAGGGAAGCCCCTGGCTCCAGCCCTCACCCTGGGAGGGCACTGGTGGTCGCCTGTTCCCAGCCCCTCAGCCTGCGTTCCCCATAGAGAAGCAGGCCTTCAAGCCCTGTGCCCACAGGTACCAGGCTCGGAGCCTCTGTGCAGCTGACAGCAGTGGCCTCTCAGACCCCTGGCCTGAGTCTTCTTTATCAACTCAAGTCAGTGCACGGAGGTGAGGGCCGGGAGAGGAGGGAGCGGCACTGGCTTTGCGGGCACTGGGGGAGGCCTGTGAGCTTCTGGGGCCTGGGGACACAGATCAGCCAGCACCCCAGATCCTCAGAGGGCAGCCTGGCAGATACCTGTGGGCCCGGGCCACATGGTGGAGGCTTCAATGTGTGTGTTCTCTGCGATAAAATTGCCTTCTAAAAATATGTGATTTGCCTTTTAATTCCATTTATGATAAACCTGTAGTATGAGACTTAAAAAAAAAAAGATACAGGTCCAAAGGCAGCCCACCCCCTCCCCATTCACCGGGAGAGCAGAGGGCAGGGGCCCTGTGTAAGCAGAACTAGCAAGAGGCCCTCGGTGAGGGGATTGGGCCTTGGCACCTGGCCACTCAGGGCCAGGCCGGCCCCTGCCACGTCCCTCAGGCGCGGGACCGCGCGCTGCGCCCCCGGGCGGGTGGCAGAGCCCCTCCCCCACCCCTAAAGCGTTCCCTGCAGGTGGAAGGCCAGCGGCCTCGCGGGAGGGGCGGCGGTTGCGCGCCCAACGGCTCGGGCTCTGTCTCGCGCCCTCCGCCCAGGCCCCTCTCGGGTGCCCGCTGAGGCCTCGCTCTTCTCTCGAGCCCCGCGCGGTGGGCCCCGCGCAGTGGGCCCCGGCGCTCCAGCTGCTCTCCGAGCTCCCAGCCCAGCCCGAGAAGCGCGCCGCCGCACCACCAGAGTGCGGGCTCTGCCGGCCGAAGCCGCAGGCTGCTGAGGGGACTGGGGGCGCGCCCTCCCTGCCTGGCTCGCTTGCCTCCTCCCGCAGCCGGCGGGTGCGACGTGCCGCCGCCGCTGCTCACGCCGCCGCTGATGCAGCCCCCGCCGGTGATGCAGCCCCCGCCGCTGCTCCCGCTGCCGCCGCCTTCGCCGCCGCCGCCAGTGCCCCCGCTGAAAGTGACTGACGCTCCGCTTGCGCCCGGGACCGACCCCGCTACTGGCGGCCGCACCTCTCAGGTAAAGTTCGCTCCACATTGGGGTTGGTGGGCCTGGCCCGGCCCGGAGGCAGCCTCGGGGCGCCGGCTCGCTCCTGCCCGGGTGGGGCCTGGGGTCCCGGGCTGGCTGGGGTGCGGCGGGGAGCAGCGCCGCCAGCGGAGGCCGCCGAGATGTGGGGCGAGGGCCTGGCGGGCGGCGCGAGGCGCGGGCGGGAAGGCGCCACAGGCGTGGTTGGGGTCGAGGGCGCCGCGGGCTCCCGGGGCAGCCAGGGGGCCGCGGGCGAAGGGGCGGCGGGCGGCAGAAGTCGCCCGAGTGGTGCGGAGCGAGGCGGGACCGGGGTGACGTGGGCGAGCTGGGAACCGGCCGGGCTTCTTCGGGGAGGGTTTGGCGGTGGGGAGCGCTGCCTCCTCGGGGTCCAGACAGTGGGCACTTTAGGCAGGAGGGAGGGAGCTAGTTGTTTGTCTTCTACATTGAAGTGAACTGTATCCTTCATTTAGGATTAAAAAGTCAGTTGTTACTGTATAGTTTATTTATTTATTAAATTTTAACTATTTTATTGAGGTATAGTTGATTTCTATAATATTAGCTTAGGTGATATACAGTTACTTCAAACAAGGATGATTTTTTAAAAAAAGCTAGTATCTTATAGGTGCATTTGCGTATTTGCTTTGATCAGCTTAGGGAATCAGAATGGAATACACATTTCATGAGTGGAATTTCTTAGCAATTTTGAAGTGGTTCTATTTAATGTGTTAAGTATGATTTAGAATGGACAGATAGAAGTAGGAGGAGTTGAAAAAAAGATATAGTAGGCCACAGATTTTCTTGTTGATCTTGCACAAGAAAGTAATTAACAATATCTGTTAGAATAGAGTGTATTGATTTAAGGGTTACGGTAGAAAATAATTCAAGGAATTAGGAAGATAAAGGGTGTTGGTCCATGATGATTTTGAATCCTTGACTAGTTTTAAATATTTGATAACTGTGTAACTTTATTTTCTCCTCTGGATTTCTTTGATAGTGATATCCAAACCAAATTTAAAATTATTTCCTGTTAGTTTGACGTGTTACCCTTGCTTCCTAAATTCCCAAATTATCTGATTTAATCTCATTCTCATTTCACCCATGATAGAAGTCAGATTAAGCAGTTTTTTTTCAGTGACCAGAAGTGAGTTACAGAGACAAGTCATCTTTTTTATGTTAGCGGATTGGGAAGAAAAACTCATAACTCTCACAGACTTTGTGTTGTGGATGACTGAAAATAAACTTTTACAAATTAAAATAAGTAATTTTGTTGATTAAATAATTTTAAATGTGATTAAAATTTTTTTCTAAGTCTTTTTGTGAGGTAAGTAAGCAAGGAAAATAATTAGAGAAGAATTCTTATGTTTTCTTGTCTTTTATTTTCCTTCCTCCCAATAGGACCAGACATATTATCAGTCATTTCAGGTTGCAGAATATGGTAAGAGTTTTTTCACTTATTTTGAAGGAAAACACATTTATTAATTTCCATAGAGATAAGGGAAGTTTCTAAGAGATGTATTATTTAAAGTAAAAAACCCCAGTGGAGGTTAAATCCTGGTGTTTCTTAAAAGTCTAAATGTGTTTCTTTGTAAAAATAAAAGTTATAGAAATGTCATTATAAAGAATAAAGTAGGAAAAAGATCACTTATAGTCCCTTTATGCTTGCCTTTTTCTTATGCACAGTTATTCTGTTTTTCTGCTTTGTTGTGATTATATCGTATTTGAAATTTTAAATTTTTTTATTTTTGAGCGTAAGCTAAGGAAATTCCACCTCGGAGTGGTCCCTAGCTTCTGTGCAGATGGAGGTCCTTGGAGGCGGTCAGAGTTGATTCAGGTGGCATTTTT